GAGCTCCAGTATGCTTTGACACTTTAAGATCTGAACTTTCAACACAAAAACATCTTATTTCAACTTTTAGTCTTTTTGGCTTCTGTGATATTATATTTTACACTTTATCTTCAAACTTAATATTTCCTGAACCATTCAGTGTTTGGAAGTCAATAACAGTATTTTGAGATAAATTCTTGGATGTGTAGGAAGCCAGTGCAGAGCTCAAAGACTTGGACTCATGTGTTCCACTTAGTGTCAGTGAGGACTCTGGCAGCAGCGCTCTGAATCCTTTCAGTCTGTTTTTAAGGTGGTATTTAAGGTATCACCTCCAGAATCAACTATTGCAACAGCATTCTCTAAGGCACACCATCCAAAACCTTAAATAAACTCCAGTTCATCCAGAACTCTGCTGGTTGTCTGCTCACCTACACTCGCACCCGTGACCACATTATCCCTGTCCTCCAGAACCTCCACTGGCTCCCGGTCCCTCAATGTATTCACTTCAAAATCCTCCTCCTTACACACAAAGCCCTCCATAACCAGGCCCCTTCCTACTTCACTGGCCTGCTCCACCGCCACAATCCATCCCGTAGCCTTCGCTCATCCGATGCCAACCTCCTGACTCCACCACCCAGGACCAAGCACCGAACCTGGGCCGACAGAGCATTCTCTGTAGCTGCCCCCTGACTGCACCGACCTTCCAGCCTTCAAATCAATGACAAGCGTCTCTGCAACAAGACAAGCTGTCTCACATCAGAACAGCTATCAAATTTGGTCTGCTGCCTCCATTCTCTCTAGAAGATTCTCTGTAACTTCACTATGTGCATTATCTCTCAAGGTCGTCATATCACACTAGCTGGTTTTGGCTAAAATGGTTAAAATCATAAGATGCTGTGTTCCTAGACAAAGGCTGTTGCTCAGATATTCGGTTCTAGTCTTTGTTATGTGATGATAGACCAGCATTTCTCTTTATAATGACCATGTGGAATCTGTGGATTCCCCCTAGTTTTGACTGATGCAGGGCCTCTGTTGTTTTTGGAGGGTTCTCATAATGAGGTTTACAGACGACAGAAATTCAGTGCCTTAAAACCAGGGATTCAGTTCCACATTCAATGTAAAGTTCCAGCATCCCAGAGTCTTCTGGGAAATCCTTCCATTCAGCTGCTCCTCAATGGCTTTAAAAGGGGCATCCACAAGACAACGATAAGACTCCTCACACATTCACTGGTGCATTAATTGTTTTCACTTATATTGATGTAATGTATAAGAAGTTCTGTTAATGGTTTTACGTGTTTCTCAGGTGTGAATATGCATGCAGATCTCATCCTAATCCTCAGCATGATCTTCCCTTCTCTGATAAGAAGAGTTCGGTCTAGACCTGCTCTATTTGAAAAGTGTCCTGAGATAACTTCTGTTATGAATTGGCGCTATACAAATAAAATTGAATTGAATTGAATTGAATTGATTTAACCTTAGAAGATCACATCACATGTACATACATTGCTTAAAAGGGACACTTCACCCATTTGCATTAAGCTTTGTATCATTAGAACCCCAGTCATATTTTTGAATGGTCGTGCATCATTCCCTCACTTCCCCTGAGAGGGAGAAATAAAGATTTTAGTGTTGTACTTCCTGCTTCCAATGATGTAAAAATCGTCATTGTGCGTCATTGGAAGCAGGAAGTCTCATATCTCTGTAGAGGGGGTGAGACTACAAACACTACTTCCTCATTATTTTTTCACCTATTACAGATCAGTGGGTGGGACTAAAAAATATAACCGCCATCTTGTTCGGAAGCTGGCGGAGGCGCTGACGAGCCAGACGTTACGACTATGGTAATCAATGTAATATGGAAGAAAATTCAAAAGTACGATGGTGGATCAGATGTTCGTGGCTACCTTTATGAGCCGCAATATAGCGAGCAGCGTCTGAGGCTTCTGCAGCCGAGGCAGAGGACCTGACTGTCGCGGACGAGGAGCCCGGACTGGCTCGAGCTGGGGCGGACTGCTGGTGTCTGTGCTCTCGCTGTGCGCCACGGACACACGGACGTCTGACTGTAAAGTGCTTCTGTCTTATAACAACGTGGCATGTATGTACACAATTTGTTCAAGTATTATCACAAAGTTATTCCCAGTTAATACGTAACGTCAGCCAACTGAACTAACGTTAGCTTCTTTACTGCACAAACAGCTTGCAGTTGCATTGCTAACTACTGTGGCACGCTGAACACAAAGACCATGCATCACTAACTGTGTGCTCAATGTCTTGTAGACAATATCGCCTAACAGCCTTTCTGGAGTGGGTCCGGCGGCTGGTGCCAAAGTCCACACATAGAAGATCCTCCCACTAGCAGCGTCCGGCTCCAGTCTGTGCGGTTTTGGGGGGTTTAAGGTATTTGCTCATCACTCCCCAATATCTCTACATTAACATATCTGCGGGGAGTGATGAGGTCGGAGCCTTATAATGGGAGGTCGTAGCATGCTAACTGCTCCAGCAGTGTAGCAGAATAAACATTTCAAACGCTGAAATTCTATTATATGAATCATAAAGACAGCACTGACCTTTGACCCAGAGCAACCCTAACAACAAACCACAACATCAGCTGTACAGACAGCAGCAGTTCACTGCCCCATCCTACTCTTATAATCCCAGACCTCTGCCTCAACAGTCACACAGCTACAGTACAAGAGTAAAGACGATTGGCATTATGGGTAATGAGTAGTAACATACCTGACATAAAATACTGCCGAAAATTCACCAAAAGACCCCCAACAATAAGACCAAGAACCAGGAGAACCAGGAGAGCTTTGGCCCAGGATGGAAATTGTTCTGTGGGAAACAGAAACATTAAGAACATTACTTCTGACCTATGACTTTTACTTTATCTACAGTACTGACCTCTGACCTGTATCTACAGTGAGTTTTAGAGTTTGTTGCTGACCTTTGACCTGCAGCTGTATGTCTCTCACTCTCTGTTGTCCTCCTAATGCTCTGACGGTGCAGGTGTAGGTGCCGCTGTCAGAGAGGCAGAGTTTTGTCAGATTGAGTCTGAGGTCTCCAGTTTCCAGAGCGTCAGCCATCATGGATGTTCGGCCGCTGTAAAGCTGGTTTTGGTCTTTAAATTCATCACCTTCCTGCTGACGCTGGTGGACGGTTGGAGGATTGAGATCGTAGCGGCTCCACACCACTGAGGGGTTGTCCAGTTCAAAAGTTTGAAACTCACAGGGCAGCAGGACAAACTCCTCCCCCTCATACAGCTCCACAGCTGAGGCATGCTGGGAAACTGTGAGGTCACACAGACAGAGAGATTCAATCAGCCCTATTTCAGGTCTTATTGCTTCTGGATCCTCAATCTGCTCCTGTTTGTGATCGGACTCACAAACAGGAGCAATAACAGAACACACTGATAGACTGACTTTATTGATCCAACATGGTGTTTAAATGAGTGTGTTAGGATCATTAATACTATTGGTAATATAAGCTATAAGAATGTGAACAACCTCCAGAGATATAATCCTGAAGAACAGAACTGAGGACAGTCTGACTGTACAGTCTTCTACATTCATCATGATTTACACAAACATTGAAAATATGCTTCCTTTAATATGTTCTTCATGTTTTTATTGGAGTTTAAACAGACTAATGAAGTGAAGATGAAAGAAATACAGATTAAAGACATGATGTTGGACTAATGATCAGATCAGAGGGAGGAAGGTTATCTTACCGTGCACGAGGATCACAAACACCACAAACATCTTCATCTTCTGTAAAAACTACAACAACCACAAAGTCCTCATTAATCTGCTTCTCACTAAACGAACACTTGAAAAACACATTCAGTTCACAGCCAGTTGTCACTTTCCTCCTCCTGATAATCTGCCGACACTGTGAGGAGAAAACTTTAGTTTCACTTTAAACTGTTTCCAGAGAAGCAGCCGTTGGAATGGAAAGAAACCGGCTGAGCAGCTTTCACACAAACATTATTGGTTGATTGCCGGTAACTTCCAAAACGACATATATGAGCGGCCACTGCCCAGTTCAAGCTTAAAGGAACTGTAATTGGCATCATTACGTTCAGATGGGTTAAGGCTTCTACTGGCATATACAATAACTTGTTCTAAACAGTCCTGTTCCTGGGCCAAAACAGCTTCTGACCCACAATTGCTTGTGTCTGTATAAATTCAATTAAATTCAATTTGTATAGGGCCAATTCATAACAGAACTTATATCAGGACACTTTTCAAATAGAGCAGGTCTAGACCGAAATCCTTATAAAATTATTTACAGAGACCCAACAGTACCACCATGAGCAAGACCCTGGAGACAGCGGCAAGGAAAAACTTGGTTGGTGGGAGGGGAGAGAGAGAGAGAGAGAGAGAGAGAGAGGTAAAGACAGAAGGAAATAGACAGAGAGAGAGACAGACAGACAGCAACAAGATAGGTGCACAGCAACAAATAACAAAACACTAATAGTAGCGACTGATGCACTCGGCACATGTTGAGGTGTGCTGTGGCCGCGTCACGTACCGTCGTAACGTGCGGACCACAACATGAAAATTTCTGGTTAATCAGATCAAATTTGCCACGCAGCGCTTACTTACTGTTGCCAGTAGCTGGCGCTCTCACTATATCTGAATATTGTCACGTACACGTGTTCAGGGTGGGACTCTTATCAAATATTTGAAGTTTCATTGAGATTTGACCATGTACACTGAAGTTATGAGGACTTGTTCAGGGTAGGACTGTTACAGAATATGTGAAGTTTAGTGGAGATAAAGTTATGAAGTTGAGAAAGATCTGTTTTATGGCAAAATTTGAGGCAAAAAATACAACACACAAAAATCGCCACAAACGACCACGTAATTCAAAATGGCTGACTTCCTGTTGGGTTTGGGTTTTGTGTCCAAGAGGCTTTTTTGCTTGTCCCATCAAGATACACATGCGTACCAATTTTCATACATGTTGGTCTTATGTGTCTTGGGGGCTGATTCTGGGAGGCTTGGCTAAGCCATTATGCAACACCCATTTACGGGACCAAGACAATATCTTTATTTTACTCTGACAGAAGCCAATTGAGTCTATTAATGATATAAATGCTTTACTAAGGCTGTCATTGTCAACATCCACATGAATATTAAAATCACCTACAATAATAACTACTATCTTCTAAATAATACTAACTATCTGATTTAAGGACTAAACTTGATAAAAACTCATTAGAAGAATTCAGATATAAAATCAGAGTACGGTCCAGGAGCGCGGTACACTATAACAAATAGAACTGGCTGCAGTGATTTCCAGGTCGGTGAGAAAGACTAAGAACAAGGCTTTCAAATGATTTATAGTTTAGTTTAGGTTTAGGATCAATTAAAAGGCTGCTACTCCACCTCCTCGGCCAGTGCCTCGAGGAATGTGAGTATTAATATGACTGGGGGTGGATTCATTTAGGCTAACATACTCTTCGTGGGAAAGCCAGGTCTCAGTAAGACAAAGTAAATCAATATCATAATCTGATATTAATTCATTCACCGAAGATCAGCCGTAACTGTAACTGGAAACAGTTTTTAATTCATTACATAATTAACAGTAAACACTGATTTATTTCCTAAATGAACATTATTATTCATGTATGGCCGCATAAAATATAAAGATATTATACTGTTACTTTCAACAGTTACACTAAAATGTGCTCTCATAAAATACTACAGAGACATTTAAAGACTCAATATGTATATTTAAGGTTGCTCAGCCTCTCTGATTGAGTCTTGTCTCTCCTCAGTGCTGATCTCACTGCTTCACTGCGGGACCAAAGGAGGTGAGTCACAGTATGTATATATATATATATCATATGCACTAAAGAACCACACTGAGAACGTGGTCGTCCACAGGAACTCTGACTGATGCACGAGCACATAAACAGGACAAATGAGGAAGCAACAGATATTTTAGATTTAGCTGCACAAACAGATAAAAAGCCTTTGATACAACACTGAAAAACAGTCTGGAGGAATAAATCAATCAGGGCAGATTTAAAGGATGAGTTTCTATCACATTAACATTTAACATATCCTTTGTTAAAAGAAGATTATAAAGCTGATCCTCCATAAAGCACCAGTGGGAGACAGACCTGGGACCGTTTTAAAAAGCTCTTTATCCAAGATACAAAACTGTACAGATAAAGGTTGTGCATAGATCTGACACCATGAAGATTAAAGGAAATGGACCAGTTGGGACGTATTTCCCTCCAGTGAGCAGTGAGTTAGGGTCCCCTCAACGTCCATTAGTCTGCGTCTCCCACACACCCTCACTGAATACGTCTCCTGTCCGTTAAACACATTATTATGATACCTAAAGTCAGACTGATGGATCTACTGTCAGTGGAACCTCCTCAGTCTCTCAATATGGAGATGATCTATATGGATCTTATTGGTTAAGGTTATATGACAGAATTTTACTGAAACTGATCTGTAAGCTTTTATTGTGACACTAAAAATATAACTGATTGTCCTCCAGCTTCTCTGACTGTGAGTCCCAGCAGCTCTCAGATGTTTAAAGGACAGTCTGTCTCTCTGAGCTGTGAGGAGGACGACAGCTCTGCTGGATGGACACTGAGGAGGAACACAACCAGAGACACCAGGACTCAGTGTGACGACTGGGGAGAACCAGCTGGTTCTTCTTGTACCATCTTGGTAAGAGTACACCCAGCAGATTTAATGTGGCCAAGAAAAGCAAGATGAAAACAAACAGTGTGTAACTGTACAATTTGAAGTGGGCGATCAGTGGCAGCTTTCATTTTTGTTACTTTTGGGTGGCCCCCCCAGATTAATTGTTGTTACCCCCTGTGCCCCCCACCAGAAAATTCTCTGGACCCTCCCCTGCTTGTAACATTAAGCACTAACTATGATACCTTCAGTGAGCTGCTGTTACTGACATTCGAGGTTGGATGTTTTATAGGCCATTAGTTACAAAAAGCCTGTTTCCTGCTAACAGCAGAGAGAAAACCACAGCACTGATACATAAAGAGGAAGGAGGTGGGCTTTACTCAGTGTGACTGCTAAACTCTAATGTGCTGATCTCAGATGGCCAAGATCTAAAATGGAGGAATCATCTTTACAGAGACTGCTGGGTGAGTAAAAATCTACTTTTTAACACTTGGATATTCAGTTCCTTTCTGACCATAGATCCTCCTCAGTGTTACACATTGGACCTTTAAATATCATCTGCTGTTTGCATTATTATCTAATATCAATGTGTGGTTGTTTTCTGTTCAGTAGAAACTAAAGTGTTGTTTCTCTTTAGTTCTGACCTCACTGCTGAGCCGCCCAACAAACCAAGGTTAGTGAACTTCTTCTGTGACAGCTGGAGGATATTTGAAAGTCAGTAAGAAGCTAGTTGCCACAATGTCAGCAGGATTAACTGTTACAGAAGATCAATAAACTGATCACATTTATAAATCAGACACATGTAGACAGATCTTCTGCTGTGTTTAATGCCAACATGAAGAATTCATCAGATCATATCTGAGTTTGAGTCAAAAATCTTCTCTGAAACTCAGACATCAGTTCAGCAGTGAGACATTCTCTCTCTCTCTAACTGCATCTTTCTGTCTCTCCCTCCAGCCTCTCTGACTGTGAGTCCCAGCAGCTCTCAGATGTTTGAAGAAGACTCTGTCTCTCTGAGCTGTGAGGAGGACAACAGCTCTGCTGGATGGACACTGAGGAGGAACACAACCAGAGACACCAGGACTCAGTGTGGAGCTGGCTGGGGAGAAGCAGCTGGTTCTTCTTGTACCATCAGCTTCACCGCCACATGGGACAGTGGAGTTTACTGGTGTGAGTCCAGAGAGGGAGCAACCAGTAACACCATCAACATCAGTGTCACTGGTAAGATCAGACTGTGGAGTTAGTGTTGATGAAGCTGTGTGTAAATGGATGAAATGCTGTAGTCTGTCTCTGTGTTGAGGTGGACCAGTGATCCTGCAGAGTCCTGTCCTCCCTGTGATGGAGGGAGATGATGTCTCTCTGCACTGTAAAACAAAGACCCCTCCCCTCCAACCTCACAGCTGCTTTCTATAAAGATGGCTCCCTCATCAGGACTGAGCCTACAGGTCACATGACCATCCACCATGTTTCCAGGTCTGATGAAGGCCTCTACAAGTGTCACATTGGCAGTCATGGAGAGTCTCCACCCAGCTGGATCACTGTCACAGGTGAGGAGGTTACCTTTGATTTCAGGACTTATTTCATCCAGATATTCACCTGAGCAGGTGGGATTCTCTCTGCAGGTAAACCTACAACCACAGCCCCGCCCACACCTGAAGCCCCGCCCATATCTGCAGCCCCGCCCACTGCCTCCACCTCGCTCCAGTTTGTGTTCAGATTGCTCTACCACCTAGTGGTGTTCTGTCCGTACTGCATCTCCACTGTGCTCATGGTGTCTTTGTATCGACAGAGGTCCACAGGTAAAACTAATCAATCAATCAATCAATCAATCAATCAATCAATCAATCAATCAATCACTCTGGTGTTGATGACTGACAGCTGTCTCTAACAGAAGTTTATTAATGATCTATATTTTATTTCTAACCTGCTCTGACTGTAGGAAATAATCTGGCCGTCTCCATGGTGATGACCCCGCCCACCCAGGCTGAGCAGGGATTGGATGGTGACTATGATGATGTCATCGATGATGTCACCACAGAGCATCACTTCTGAACTGATCCGATGTGTTCAATGTGTTCTTAAATGAAGCTAAAATGTTCAGATAAAACTCACAGATCACAAACATTAGGGACCCCAAACACTTCCCTGAGGAACTCCACATGTTCTAGTTTCTGTTCACACACATCCGACTGGTTGCTTATAACTTTTATCATGTCTGTAACGAGTGAGCAGCTCTCCACCACCTTTAATAATAGATTACATTACATACAAGTGTTATATTGTAGTTGATATTAAAGATAAAAAAGAAAACAAAGAATCTGAATGTTT